AATTCCAGAGTTTGAATGAGTTCGAGTGAGTCTAGGTGACGTACCGTTCATTATGATTCCCGGGTTTGAAGGTGTTCTAGAAAGTCCAGGTGTTACACTGTTCACCATCATTCCGGGGTTTGATGGCGTCCGAGTAAGCACCGGCGTCGTATTGTTCATGATTATTCCGGGGTTTGAAGAAGTTCGGGTAAGTTCAACACCGTTTATTGCTGATGTAGCATTAGCTTGCGAGTTTCCTGATAATTGTCTTGTGGTAATTTGTGGTGTTATCTGAGAAAGTGGTATTACAGAACTGTGACCGTTAATATGAACATTGGTGGGGGCAATTCCAGTCGCACTTCCTTGTAAAGGTGATGTCATTCTTGGGGTTTGAACAAGGCTGATGCCTGCTATGCCATTGGTGTTTGTGGAATCCTCCGATATACGAACATTGCGTTGAATTGGACGTCGATAAGGCGTTGCATCTCGATGGTTCAGTGATATCGATGTCCTTACTGCATGACCGTTATGAGATAGATTGGCACGAGGGTCGAGATTAGGACGTGATTCGGTAAGTAATCGTTGGTCACTAGATTGATTCTGTTCGACAGGTAAACGTTGGTCTCGTCCGGTAAGTGGAACAGTATTTAAAATTTGATCCCGGCTTACATTAACATCCGGAGAAAGATGTTGATCACGATTTGTGATTGAAACGGAAATAGCTGGGTTTGCACGTTGCGAAATTTGTGCTGAACTTTGATTTGCATCCCTGGAAAAATTAAGGTCGGAGAAACGTGGGTCTACATAATTACGTAGATTATTTGCTATGGTTAATTTTTATAAAGGCATTAGTTACATTCGAAAATGTTTACTGTTATTTCGCCAGGAAATTTTTTAGGGTGATTATTATCGATGCATAACCCTATCAATAAACGATTTTTATTAATCATTAATCATCGATGCTTAACTCATCGATAGCCATTGATGTATATGAGTTATAATGATCGATAATTAACCAATTTTATGGCTATTGATATTTAGAAGTGATAATTATCGACTTTAAAGATAAGGTGATGGTTATCGATTTTTAACACCCTAAAAAATTTACCAATGGTATGCGTACACAATGATATTAACCTGTTCTTGAAGCGATATTAGAATCATAATTAGATCGGACTGATCGCTGATCTACGACAGTCCTTGGTAATATATTCGGACGTGATGAATCCATATCAATTGTAATTCGTGTATCAGGGTTCCCTCTTGAAGACGAGCCTTCAGCTCGTGGTTCAGAGTTTGATCGAACTTCCGAATTCGACCTGGAGTGTGAAGCTGAAATGGATACTCGAGGATCTACGTTCGCCTGAGCGCTATTCTGTGAATGATTCTGAGTTGATAGATTATTAATACTGACTTGACCATCATCACGTGAGCATTGCCTCGGAGAATTCTGTTTATCTTTCTGAACCTTATTATTACGGAACGCACCGAGACTTTGGAAATCTTCGTCTTTTAAAAAATGAAATTTAATTGACCTAATAAACCAAATGTAAAATAAATAAAAATAACATTGATTTATATGAATAATTCATAAAGACATCCGATATATGATGCATATAAGTAGATTTACCATTCAGTCATGTTTGGACTATCATCGATTTCGTCAGAATCCATATCATCATCACTATAAACATCTTCCATCTCGTCCGAATCGTATTTAAATTTATTATTCTTTGGCCTTTTCATACGGTAAATTGTAAACACATCAAGACGGTCAATAGTACGACGCTTACGACCTCCACGCCCATAACGACTTCTAAATGCAGGAGGTAACACTGATAGTTTATCAGCATCGAATTTCCTGTAGAAAGTCGCTCCCCGTGGTTTCTCCATGGGACAATACGGATTCTAATTAATAATTAACAATTTAATATATCAATCATAAATAACCAAACACGAAACTAATCAAAATATTTACATAAAAACATTGATACTTGCATGTGTCACATCTATGTGAATACCACAACTTTCTTTATCTTTTTTTGAGGATTTAATTCCAGACTTTGTTCTTAAGGAGCTAATGTAATATCAAATTATAATTTAATGAATTTAGTGAATTTGCAAATAAATAAATCAACAACAAATATATAATAAATATATAATAAATATTATATATTATATAATAACGTACCCAATAGCATCCATATGTGAGACTGATATTTTTCTGTTCTTGTTCTATTGGACAAGTTGTAAAATTCATATAAAAATTATATAAAAATATATCCTTAACGGTAGAGAGAAAATAAATACCCTTTGCTGTGAATCCGAAATGACATTGTTTTGGATTCCCAGTTCTTTCCGCATCTCTTTTATATCACATTCTTTTATAAATATTTTTCGATTTAATTCAATCCTCTGCTTCTTGAACCTTTCACGAGATTTTACTTTAACTATTATTTCTCGACCATTATGTACATCGCGCCTTATCCTTCTTAATTTATCGAAAGACTGTGTCTCGGTACGACGAGTCCTCCTCATTGGTTTAAGTTCTCGACGACGGAAGCATACGTATGGATTATCTTCCTCATCTTTTGTATCTGCAGTCTGTAATGGAAATAAAAAAAAAATATTAAAAACATTGAATAGTTTAATATTGTAACTTTTAATAACTGTAAACAACTATAAATTTTAATAACCTTAAGTTCAAACATTAATGGAGCTACCGTCTTGTAGCGTATCATTCGTTGTTGTCGTTTAAGTTTCCAATGTGTATACACCTGTTTAGCATCATTAATTAGTTTCTCAGCTTTATCTGCCTTTTCTACTTTATCTACTTTATCTACTTTATCTAATTTATCTAATTTATCTGAGAACCATGGCTCGCAATCATCCCATGTTGGGAGTTGTCTTTTTGCCTAAATGCAACCCAGGAATAAGGAAAGAGTATTATGCTAAATTAATATAAAAATCTGAACTTTAATCAAAATGAAACTAAATTAAAGTCAGCTTACCAACAAATGTGGTTTATTTTTTGCTTGATTTTCAAAAAATTCCATTATCTCTTCAAAATCTTCTTCTGATAGATTATTACCATTTTTATTATATGAAGTTAACCATTCTTCATCATCTTCATCCATGTTGTATAAACAACCGACACATTCCAATATTGGTGTAGAAAATTTGAGGAATGTATGTGACATTTTCCACGTAGGTGGAAATAAATGTCTTTTATTGGCATCAGAATCAGGACAAGGAATCGCTGGTTCACCCTCGCCAGTTGATGTACCATTTCCTTCTTCGATCCCTTGTTGACGTTTTTCTAATGCAGTAACAAGATGTATTTCCTATAAATATAACATAAAAAAGATCTGATTAAAATATAATAATGTAAAATTATACGTTAAACATTATATGTATGACATAAAACTTTATAATCATGTGACAAAGCATTATATTATGACATAATCGCCACAGCGCAGCCGCAGTAAGCGAAATTGCAAATTGTAAAGGAATAACGAAGGATTTTATTTAATCTTTAACATACAAATCTACAAGTTTTACATACTATACATAGACGTGACAATAGTAAAAGAAAAACGAACCTCTTCTTCCTCCTTTTCTACTCCCGTTTCCACATCGACCCCTGCTCTACTGACAGGTAGCATGTCTTCTTCACTGATTTCATGTTGAAGCATTATACGCATAGGCTTCTTATTGTCTACCTTTCGTTGTCGAAAGGATTTTCGGTTCAGATTCATATTTGGGTTAAATTTAAATGATGACATCTTGACTTGTGGCGCAGTCAGATGGGGAGGTTTCGTTACAAATAACTTTAAAAGACAAACTACTTATTGACAAAGGTGTCGTTTATACAAAGTGGAAGCGGTCTTATGAAATTGTTGTTTGTCTATAACAACTAGTCGTAATTGAGAAATGTAGAAACGTTATGTTTCTCTCTTTTACTTCGGCTTAAATTTATTTAATAGGATTTTTTTTTTCGTCAACTTGGTGTTTGTTGGGGGGCAAACCAAAAAAAAACCGGGTAACCAAAAATGTACTCCGAGTTACCCGATCAATTAATGAGTCATTGGGCGCAAAAGTACGGCAACGTGACACAGAATACGGTGACATTTAGATTAGGCACCACATGATTTACACAAGGGTCATTGACCGTAACATTTATCACATCCTAATTACGTCATCAATAATATACCGGAACTTTGCACGAATAATTTTACGGCAAAATTTAGGGCTTATAACAATAACATTCTGTTAATAGAAAAGAACCGATTTGTTCCTTTCCAAATTGCAAATGTTGGTATTGAAATATTTAGGTATAACCAACTTTGCTAGGCGACTTGGGAGACGATCGTCATTGTCATAAGACTAAATGAAGCAGGCTAAGATTACGTCGTGTTATCACTACATATATATAAAAAGAGATAAATAGATAAACGTGCATACCATTCCATCCTGGTTAATCAACCTGCATTTTATACTTCAAAAAATGGTTCGGTCAGAATAGATGTTCGCCTTCTGTAAAATCAGAAATGTTATGCCTTTTCATTATCCACACCTTTGGTTCTATGACAATTTGCACTGGCAATAAGGATTCCAAAAACTTTTTCACATTTTTTAAATCAAAGTTTTGGAATGATTTAAGCCAATTTTGTATGATAGTACTTGTTGGATTTTTCAATAGTATTCTCTCGTAACCATATACGGTATCAATAATTTCGAAATAAGCTCCGTGAAAGTGAGGTGTAGAAGTTAAAAGATGCGTATATCCCACGTAATCAGTAGGCAATGAATGTGATTCGTTCTTATAATACATCCAGTCATGCCGCAGCTGACCAAATCTGGATGCACCAGTCATCGCAGTATATACATCAAGATGTATCCGTGCTAGACGATCAAACGCATTGACATATTTTGACTATTAGAAACCAAACACTATACCACTATACTCCAGTATAATAAAATCAAATATTATTCACCTTGGGAATAATCTCTCTGAATGACATGTATTTTTTGTAAGGCTACCCCACCAGGATAATTATGACTAGAAATAATTACCATCATGGTGCTTATTGAAAAACCAATTATAATAAGGATAGAGATCAATCGGTTTATAATTATCCGTGAGTATTTTTGCTTGCTAATTGTAAAAGTAAAGTATTAAAATATTATGCAATTAGCAAATATTGTAAATTGTCATGCTACATAAATTAAATAACATGATAGGTAACTATTCGAAGCTCAAAATTAAGAATTAATAAAAGCGTACATTTTTATCCATCCGATCGCCGCGCACAAATTGAAAATCGGTACCACATAAATGATAAACCGCCATTCTTTATGACCAAGGAAAGAGAATCCACCTATGAAAGCAAGCATAGGTGTTAAGAGTCTACGCGTACGGAAATCAGAAAATACCGAAAATATGCATAACGGAAGAGACATCAACAATAGTCTCGGGAGAAATACGGTGAAATATGTATTAAAAGGTAGCACCTATTCATAATTCGATAAGAAAAAAAAAAAGATTAATAGAATCAGCCGGCTATTAAATCTTACAATATAATATATGTAGCAATTATTGTTGCTCATTTTCCCGATGGTCATTTCACATAGGGTTAGGGTTAGCATTTTTATTAGTTGTAGGTAAATATTATTAGTAAATTATCACCTCGTGATGTCAGTAAATGGCCTGTCAGGGGATGACCGTCGGAAAAATTATAAGTAACCTATGTAATACATACCCCCCACTCAACACTCTTTCCGAGAATGGCATTGAAATAAAAAACATAACCTTCTGGCCACATAAGTCGAGTTTGCCAAAAGTAACTATCGATTAAGCAAGAAATTCCTATAAAAATAATAACAAAATTATATGAATGGTACATATTGGGAAAAGAAAATGATCGTTACAATTACATTTATAGATGTGTTACCCAAACTTGTCGCTCCAGAGATAACTCCAACCCATAATGTATCAAAAAAATTTAAAGTTCCAATCCACAATTCAAACAAAACAATAACAGCAAGTAGCACTCCTACTTCAAACCGAAATATTACCGCCGTATAAATCATATAACGTATCATTGGTAATAATTTTCGATTGGATTCAGAGGAATTAATCGCAGAAATCCAATAAGAATAAGAAAAAATTACTAAATGAAAAATAATGAAATATGAAGAAAAATAACAAAAAAATAATGAATAATAATAATAAAAATAATAATAAAAATAATAACAATAACAATAATAATAATAATAATAATAATAATAATAATAATAAATAATAATAATAATAATAATAATAATAATGAAAAATAATGAAAGATTTTAGAAATTTTAGTATAAAAGCATTTATATTTATAATATAAAGTAAATTTTATCCTTACCTAGCGGAAAAGCAAACATGTTTGGCAATGTCCTACTTGCCCAAAATATGGTATGAAATTGACAAGCACTAAGAATACCAAAGGCGACAGAAACCCGATATCCAAAATATTTAGCAATAGATGATCGAAAATAAGATAGAGCAAAACTGGTAGATATACCAAGAAAGAAGCGTACTATGAATTTCAGTAATTCAATGAAACGCTGTTAAGACAAAATATCTATTCTAAAATCTAATTTATTTTAAAGATATCAATTAAGTTTTCCTTATAGTTCTCTAATAACCTACCTATATATTGGCGAGTAAATTTACTAAGGTGAGGGATCAGCAACTCTAAAGTTTTGCTAGTTGGCCAACTAACTAAACTCAAAAGTAAAGAACCAACGAAAGTGCGAGGAACAACTCCTGGAAACTCAAAGTGGTCATACTTTTTATTAAAAATCAACATTTTAGACCCGCGAGAAGTTCAAAGAAAGCAATATTTGCAACTGACTTTCTAGAGTTATCTGCTATGTACCTTTTTTAATGCTTCCAAAGATATTCCAAACTCCATAATATCATGTGAAGCTTGAAGGTTAAAACTTTCTTCAACTTTAGTAAAAGGACACAGCACAAGGTGAAATGTTATTAAACAGGCAAGAAGAAAGTCATATTTATCCATATCAGCTCACACAATTTTCAAGCACCTCTTAGACAGTATAATACCAAAAATAAACCAAAAAATAAACCAAAAAATAAGAGTAAATTCAATTATTTTATCTGATTTGAAGAAAGTGAACAGAAATTTTTAAAAAACAAAAAAAATTAACGCCCAATTTGGGTTGGATGATTGCCATTTCTTTATAATAATCGGATCCGCATTTATACTGGGTTTTATTGGTAATTGAATATACGGGTGGCTTATGTCTGTAACAATTACGTACTGAGGCTTCGAGCATTGTACACGCTAGTGATTGGTATTAGTTATTGCTATGGTTTACCGTACGTGACACAATGCTTAGTCATGACTAGTAAATTCTCCTATTTACCGTGATTATTTCTTTCGATTAAACAAATATTCTTTCACTTAACCCTGCCTATTATCACTCATTTTTTAGTATTTCATACGCTCTCGCACCGCAAAGATAAAAATTATTGCAGTTTGTTCATTAGGCGGTTTATGACTTTGGTTATTCACCATCTCTATCACCACTACAAAAATTTCAGTACAAAACCTTGAATAATTGAATAACGATAACAGTTCCTTCTTATCAAGTATTTTCGACATAAAAATATCTTTAATATTAGAAAATAACATCGAAAAAGATCGTTTTGTGCACAAGTGTGACATTAATATTTCGTTAGAAAATATATTTTTGATTTTTAAACGTACAGTACGTAAGTAAAATATAACAGATACCAGTTAAGATTTTTTTATTCTATTTTGATAAAATTTTCATATGATTTAAGCAATCTGGTCACGTGAAGTAAACCGGGCTTTTATTTCTTTGTAACACTGTAATACTGTAATAAGCTCTACAAAGTTACCTTCCAAAAATCAGTTTATAAAATTTAAAGTTTGTATGATTCTTGGATTTATCAATTTTCATACAGGTTTTTTTTAAACAAACCAGTAATTTTATAGAGCTCGGGGTTGCTTTAATAAATACCCAATTTGAGGATTTTTTTTTTACACAAGATTGCAATACAGCAATAAAATAATAACGATAAACGATAATACTTTATGATTTATTAATTACTAAAACTTTAACAACTATTTTAACCAACTGTGCTTTAGGCCACATGGAAAGCAACTTTACTTAGCGTTAGTGCACAATTTGTGTTACAAAATCAGTCTTCTAAAAATATAACAATTTTTGTTGCATTACATATCGATATGTAAAAGAAGAAAGAATTAACTAATAAATATCTCTTGCGCATTTTTCTGAAATTTTAAAAATATAATTTAAAACTACATACGTATTTTAAATTAATTTATATATATATATATATA